TCGGCCACCTAGACTGAACTAAAAATACAGCTTTCGGTTACCTAGTGTTACCTTTTCTCGTCAGTAGAATCTAGAGTTGTAACACAGTACATGATATATAAGGCATGAAGATGGAATTGATTGCAGATTAGCTAAATTATCTATCGTAAAGGATCGTAAGATACAGTCACAGAAATAATTATTTTGATAAGTACGTCTAAACAAGTGACAACTCTACGACAGATCCATCCTTCACTGGTGATACACGGCTGAAAACACATATTATATTCATAATTATTCTAAATACCAGCACAACAATGTTAAATCTGCAAATTTGCGGAAGCAAATTTTTGTTCTTCCCTCGCCGGGATTCGAACTCATGATATATATATATAACTGACGAGGAAAGGTAACACCCGGCCACCGAAAGCTTGATTTATATCGAGCCTAGGTGGTCGAGTGGTCGATCGCGCCGGGCATAGTGCAAGGCGATTTGGTGCCACGATATCTCAGTAGCATGAGTTCGAATCCCGGCCAGGGAAGAACAGAAATTTGCTTCCTCAAATTTACAGATCTAACATTGTTGGGCTGTTATTTAGACTAATCATATATACAGAATGTGTTTTCAGCCTTGTATCACCATCACTGGTGATCCGATGGATAAAATCTGTCGTAGACTTGTCACTGGTTCAGACGTACTTATAATATAAGTATTTCTGTGACTGTATCCTATATTAATTTGTAAGATCCTGTATGATAGATAATTTAGCTGATCTGTAATATTCCATCTTCATGCCTTATATATCATGTACTGTGTTACGATGCTAGATAAAAACTGACGAGGAAAGGTAACACCTGGCCACCGAAAGCTTGATTTTTTTCGAGCCTAGGTGGTCGAGTGGTCAAGCGCGCCGAGCATAGTGCAAGGCGATTTGGTGCCACGATATCTCAGTAGCATGAGTTCGAATCCCGGCCAGGGAAGAACAAAAATTTGCTTCAGCAAATTTACAGATCTAACATTGTTGAGCAATTTAGGCGAATTATATACATATAATAAGTACGTCTGAACCAGTGACAACTCTACGACAGATTTAATCCATCGGATCACCAGCAATGGTGATACATATAGCCTTATAGTAAGACTCTGGAAATATTTGACTTTTCGAGTTTGGTGAATGAACTTTTTGCCTGTAAATTGAATATCTTGTTAGCTCCGCCCAATCAAGTTAAAAATTACCTTGGAGTATGTATTCAGTTTCCAATTGTAACTCTGTGCTATCTAATGATATAATGTAAAATCGATATGTCAGTAATGAAAATATTAGAAAATTTTATATTTGTTTTATTTGAAATATGAATGTAATTGTGAGTTGCTTAAAGTAAGGAATTATATCGTTGAAAAAGAGTACAAATAATTTTCATTTGAATTTCATAAATGGATATCCTGAAGAATAGTAATTTAAAATGAGAACTAAAACGACTTTGATCTTATGGTGTTTGCTAAGTGCACATGACAACAAAAACCATCAGGCTTCTGGTGGTAGCAGCAGTGAAGAATGCCAAACAGGTAATTTTTTTACGGCATTACAAAAAAGGTTTCCTACATTGCGTATTTCGTTTATCAGAACGATCTTTTTTTATTATTATTATTACTACACAGCAAATTCACACAGATTACGTCTGAAGAATTTAAGCTTATTTAACATTTACTAAACATATAATTTGGACATTAAAAAAAAAGATATGGTTGTTATGGATGTTATGACACAAACCTGTATCCTTGTGTCATATAAGGATTTCTGCAAAATACGGTTTAAACAGAAGCGAAACTTAAAAAAGACGTAAGTAGCCATTCACCTTCTTCTTTATCTGATCTGTCAGCTTCTTTTGAAAATAGATATAATAATCCAATTCGTCTGTAATCCAAGGATACCGCAAATCCTTTCTTAAATCATATGTGAATTTATTTCAAGCCACCTGTAAAAGTATTATACATTCAGATAAGAATCCAAAAGTGGTTATATCGGAAGGTGTGTACAATATGTTTAAAACGATTTTACAATTTGAACGACAGATTTTTGAAACGTATTTCTTAAAAGTCTACTCATTGTAAATAGGGAAACTGTAAAAGTTTTTGTTCTGCTCTCCGTACAGATATACTTGTATTTGAATTATTAAACAAAAATTGGAACGGAATTCGAGGAAAGATTTATTAACACATATACATTTGGGGTAAATTATCAGATAATTTATGCTTCAATTTCACTACAATTCGTCATACGAAATTACAATTACATTTTAAAGACTTTTTTTTTATTAATACATCAAAATCAGGTATAAATATAAGTAATGTTCGGTATTTTAAAATATCAGTTTCAGTTCTTTCAAATGACTCTTTTATAAATATTTTGTTTTGCCCGGTCGTAAAAAAATCGTACGGTGCAATTTCCGTTAAATCAAGGTCAAAGGTCAAGAATAAACATTCCAAATTTTTGCGATAATTAAACAAAAAGCCATTTTCTGGTTCTTGTACGATAAAATTATCATTATTATTATATAACATGATACAGTAATTCCAAAATGAAACAAAAATCAAAAGGTTAGTTGCGCAATATTTCCCTAAAATTGTAATTCTTAACAAATCCTACAAAAATGAGAAAAATGCTCTAAAAGCAAAATATATCTTGGGTAATCGATATTTGTATGCTCACAAATCACATAAATGTATGGTTTGTAGGTCAAGGAATATTTTTTTCATAATTTTAAAATGCAATTAATATATATTGTTCATGGAAGTGTTTACAGTTGCCCAAGAAACTGTAATCTGAGAATAGCGATCATCTTGTTTTTCTATGTTTAGATAGCACATCGCTAATTGTCAATATCAGGGAGGACAATAATTGACATGTTAAATGTGTTAAGAAGTTTAATCTAGTTAATTATTCGAACGAAAGCTGTTTTGAGTGTTTTCACCAGAAGCTTTTAAAACACAAATGCAGGTAATTGTGTATGTAACGACATTATAAGTAGCTGTGTTATTAAATAAATGAAAGGTTGAATATCCTTCCTGACCTCATAAAATCAATTGCGGTTCGTTTTTATAGTTCGGTGCTGTGTTTTGTGGACTGTTATTCGTCTGTTAAACTTTTATTTTGTTCATGGTTAACTTTTATCTCAGTTTCTTTGATTAATGGTTTGAAATTGTCCCCTTAGTCTCATTTTACTTTGAAGACACTTAGATACAGTAATGAAAATCGTCAAAAAATTGCCTCAAAGTAAAGCAAAGAGGACAAATATCCGCGAAAATAAGTTATGTTGCTCACAGGGACATATAACCAATTCGGAATCATGACACATTCAACCACGGTTTTTAAAACTCATAACTAAAATGGAGGCGAAAGATATCAAAGGGACAATTAAACTCATAACGTGAAAACAAACTGACAAAGCCGGGGCCTTTTTATAACCGCCTATACGGTATGGGGTTTTCTCATTGTTTAAGCCCGTACGGTTGCCTATAATTGCTAACAATTTTCTAAATAAGACTATATAATATTATACAAGCAATTATATTGATATTCTTCACCACAAGGATACCTTAAATAGACATATGTGTAACAATTGAAAGCATGAGTTCGAACAAATCAAATACACAATACTTTTTTTGCTAAAGTTCAATTCAATATACTAGACAGTCTACTGTCAAATTTCCACGAGGACGAGGAAGGTGGCTTTGTTGGAATAGTCGTGCAAGGTAGGTTCTCCTGACAGAAGTAAAACGTTGACGTTCTGTTGTCGATGTTTTTTGTATTTCTTAAACAAAACACGTTGGATACCCCCATACATTATCGGTATCTGGTTGGCTTCTGTGTTGGCCTGAGTTTTATAACGTATGGCTATCAGGATGTAGATGTATTGGTGTGCAGTTATTAAAAAAGCTCGGCAAGTGGTGGAATCTATATATGACCTATTTATAAAAATTATTAATATTGTTTCTTCCCATCTGATATATAAATGAATGTTAAGATTATAATCAAAAGATGAACAGTATTAAAAGATCGTAATTTTTATACTTAAAGCTCATTCATTTTTCAATTGTTTTATGAATTTAGTTACCATTTGACATATATTATAAAAAGTATAATATGAAAAATATTTGATACATCGTATACAGGTAGCACAATATCTTACATATAACAACATTTGTAATTATTATATCAACACCAAGTCCATCTATTATTTGACACTTTTTGGATAAACGTGAATCAGATTTTTCAAATGTTGGAGAACCGTGAATAAACCAGTGAAAGTGGTTTTCTTGATTAAAAATACCACAAACTGTTGAAATAAGCGTAACGTCCTTGCGTTATAAAACGCTAAAGGGCGATCTTTCAACAGATCGGTACAACATCTAAAAAAAAGTCGTTGACCCTATGGTAGTTTTATAATCAGAGGTAAGTATTACCTGTGAAAAAGGACGAATTCCGAATTATTTTTATGATCCTGTTTGATAATCAGCGGGAATTCGTATGCTTTACAACATGGCAGCCTCAGTCAACAGACTAATTCACAAATGCAAATGTAAAAAAAAGGTATGATTTTGGATTCCCTGGTATATTGATTTTTATTGATTTTGATTTTTATTGGTTTTCTTACTGTTATTGAGGACTTCGTCTTCATATAAATCAACCAGAAATCGTGACAACAACATGTCATTTTTTTAGGAAATGTCTATATATTGGTTTTGGAGATTTAATTATTTTGGACAATTATAAAAACGTTTTCACCTATTTTCCATGCTTTCTATACCAGTGTACATCTATTTTGAAAGAGTTAATGCGAAAATATTTCAGTACCTCAGTTGTATGTACAATCTGTGATTTGACGCAAGAAGTACAATTTCACCTTAAGCAGACATTCGTAATTATCATCGTCAACATTAACAGTCCTGTATAAGATGAAGATAATGATCCATAAATCCATTTTAGTCATGACTTATAAAATATTTTTCCAGAATTTTGGACTGAGTGGGATTCTTCAGGACGATGTTCGGTAACTTGTGGAGAAGGAATGCAGACTCGATCCAGAATTCGTTTCGACTGTTGCCAAGCAAAATATGAAACAGACACTGATGATGTAGTCTGCACCCAAACCAAATGTCCAGGTAAGAAAACTTACATCAATAAATGTAATTACTAAATCGAGTGCGAAAAAAATTCTTTGAATGCGTTTAGTCTCTGATGCATGATTTTTGTCGAGCCTTCGACTTTTGTCGAAAAAGCGAGACATAGCGATCCTACATTCCGTCGTCGTCGTCGACGTTGTTGTCGTCGTCGGCGGCGTCCACAAACATTCACTCTGTGGTTAAAGTTTTTGAAATTTTAATAACTTTCTTAAACTATCTTTGATTTCTACCAAACTTGGAAAGAAGCTTGTTTATGATCATGAGATAGTATCCAGAAGTAAATTTTGTAAAAAAAAAATCCATTTTTTCCGTATTTTACTTATAAATGGACTTAGTTTTTCTGCCAGTTAACATTACATTCACTCTGTGGTTAAAGTTTTTAAAATTTTAACAACTTTCTTAAACTATCTTGGATTTGTACCAAACTTGGACAGAAGATTGTTTAAGTTAAAAGCTAGTATCTAGAAGGAAATTTTGTTAAAATTTTGTTCCATTTTTTCCGTATTTTACTTATAAATGGACTTAGTTTTTCTTCCAGTTAACATTACATACAGTCTGCAGTTTAAGTTTTTAAAACATTTACTAGATTCATAAACTATCCGGATTTTTACCAAACTTGGACAGAAGCTACTTACAATCAAAAGATAGTATAGAGAGGAATATTTTTATTTTTTTTTCTCATTTTTGTTGAGCCTGCGATTAACACAAAAGTAGGCGAGACACTGGGTTCCGCGGAACCCTTACGAATTTTTTTATTATTATTTGTTTTTGGCTTTTAACTAGCTGTCAGTAACTGCGAGTACTCTCAAATCGTACTTTCTTGTTTATGACCTGTTGATACTAATTGTAATGCTTTTTTGTTATTTAATGTTATTCAGGGTTATATCTGGTCTATATACCAGCTTTGATAAGTGTTTGGTATTACTATAAATTTTCACTTCTTCGTACTATGATTCATACATCAAAATTATTTATTTTGTAAAAATATTTCCTTTCTCTATCTGAACTGTACACGTATACCTAACAACAAAATTATTTTTATTTACCTGTGTTTAAAGTAATTGCAAATGGCTGATATTTTTGTTCAAGTATATTGTTTTTCTTAAAATGTTTAACATTTCACAGCGGTATAACATATTACTTTAATCATTCTTCCCTTAGTTTATTTATTTTGTATTTGCATTGTATCATAGATCACCGGTGTTTATATCTTTTGATTGAGTTAAGCCATTTCAATTGATATTTTATAGTGTGTTTTTCTATGTTGTGATGTTACACTATTGTTTCAGATAAGGGTGAAGATTTGGTACCATTAAAACGTTTAAACCCGCTGCAATTGTTTGCACCTGTCCTAAGTCAGGAATCTGATGTTCAGTAGTTGTCGTTTGTTGATGTGGTTCATAAGTGTTTCTCGTTTCTCGTTTTTTATATAGATTAGACCGTTGGTTTTCCCGTTTGAATGTTTTTAATTTTTGAGGCCCTTTATAGCTTGCTGTTCGGTGTCAGCCAAGGCTCCGTGTTGAAGACCGTACTTTGACCTATAATGGTTTACTTTTATAAATTTTGACTTGGATGGAGGGTTGTCTCATTGGCACTCATACCACATCTTCTTATATCTAATTGATAAACTACACTCCTTTGAATGCCACTTTGTATACCGTTACATTTCTTAACTCCAAAGTACACTTTGACACAATCTGATCAGACAGATATTTCCTCCTCCTTGTCGTCGTCGTCATCGTCATCGTCATCGTCATCGTCATCGTCATCATCATCGTCATCGTCATCGTCATCGTCATCGGCATCGGCATCGGCATCAACGTCATCGTCGTCGTCATCATAATCGTCGTCCTCATCATCATCCTCATCATCCTCCTCCTCCTCGTCTTCGTCGTCATCATCATCCTAATGATCCATGTATAACAGAGTATAACATTGAAAGTTTTTTTTAAATCTTAGTTTAAACAATATTTTATTTTTTCAAAAGTGCACAAATTACAATTGTACAATAGAAATACAGGGATTCGGAAACAAGAAGAACTTATATAAATCCGTCTCCCTTAAAAAAAATGACAAAATTGGGAACATAGTGTAAGAAACCCGCATAATATAATTTTCAATTTACATTGCATGTTTATTCTGTGGTTTGCCCGTTACTCAGAAGTCAGTTTGATCGAAAAATGTGATCAACTCATTTTTATAATTATGGTCTCGCATGTAGCTGTGAAAATAGGTAAATATTTCAAAAAATAAGGTTAAATTATAAATTATAAAATTTCAACATCTAAATCGACATAAAAATAAAAGTTTATGAACCAAATCTCCCTGTTTCCAAAATAAAACTTTGTACAACTTTAAAAATATTTTCGTTTTCCTCATCACTGATGAGTTCACTACCTGATAATAATGTTTGTATATTATACCTTGATAGTGTGTAAATGGTTTGTGTCCTAATGAGTCTACAATTATGACATTCTAGCAGATAGTGTTTGCTGCTATCAACTTGTCCACATATACAGAGGCTGGAAAGAACAATATTTTTCTGGAAAAGGTGTTCATTTAAGCCACTACAGTTCAACCGGAGTCTGGCGTGAAGTATTTGGCCTTTTCTAAAACCAGTATTATAATATGAAGGGTCTTTCTTAATATCACGATTTAAATAATTTTTAAGTGTGATTTTTGTTGGATTACACCTTACATCTTGTGGAAGGCTGTTCCATTCACGAATAACAGATGGTATGAAGGAATTTTGATAAAAAGAAGTTCTACAGTTCATGTTTTGAACATTAAATGCCCTTCTACTATTATAGTTATAAACTTGATAAAGTTGTTGAGGAACGAGACTACAAAGATAATCGGGAGCTTGATCATGAAACATTTCGTGAAATTTGATAATTTTATGTCTGTATCTTCTTTCACTCAGAGATACCCAACCAGTATCATTATAAAGTTTAGTTTTAGAACAAAGTTTGGTGGCACCTGTGACGATACGAGCCGCTTCTATTTGGATGCTCTCTAGTTTGTCCTTCAAATAAGTTGGTATGTTATCCCACACAGTACCCACATATTCGAGAATAGGCCTGATGAAACTGATATAAATAACTTGTAGATGATTACGCGATAACTTAAACTTTAAGCTCCTCATAAGATTTAAGCGCGGCGTAGCTTTATCAATAATATAATTTACATGACTTTCCCAACAGCCGTTTTCTTGAAAAATTAACTCTAAATGTTTATGTTTTTCAACCTCTTGTATCAGCGTATCATTCATATATATTGGTGGATTATGGGGTTTTGCTGTTTTTCTAGATATGGTCATGGTTTCGGTTTTTCTTGGATTAAAATTAACGAGCCATTGTTGAGACCATAAGTGAATTTTTTCTATATCAGAGTTCATTAATTCAGCCGTAGCATACTCGTCCTCAACAACTATATATAATGATGTATCGTCAGCGAAAAGTCTGATATTGCATGATATGTCACATACAATATCATTCATAAATAATAAAAATAATACAGGGCCTAAAATTGAGCCCTGAGGGACACCGGCTTTAATACTATAAACATCAGAGGTCTGTCCTCCTATGGCAACTCTTTGTCTTCTCTCAGATAAATAACTTTTGAACCATTTCTGGAAGTCCCCTCTTATTCCATATTTTTCTAGTTTAAGAAGGAGGCCTTCATGCCAGACCCGGTCGAACGCTTTACTGACATCACAAAACACAACTCTGATTTCCTTTCCAGAGTCAAGAGCTTTGGCAATATCGTGGGTAATATAAATAAGTTGATTAACAGTACTATCTCCAGGCATAAAACCTGATTGCATCTGTGTAATTATTTTATAGCGAGAAAGAAAATTAAACAAATATTTAAAAATACATTTCTCCATCGTTTTAGCCATAATAGATAACAGAGAGATTGGTCTATAGTTGGATAAAATTTCTTGAGAACCACTCTTGAAAACTGGTATTACATTTGCTATTTTCCAGTCATATGGATAAATGCACAATTGAAGTGACTTATTGAACAACAGAGCTAGGGGATAGCTTAATTCGCGGGCCGCATATTTCAGAAATCTTGGACTAATGCTGTCGGGGTCTGTTGCCTTAGACACGTCTAACAAGAGGAGTTGGTCATAAACTTCCTCTTGCGTTAGAATTATATTATCTAAAGTATGAATTACGTCATCTAAGTTTATTTCTGGAATATTTGTAGATTTAGAATCTTGGAGCGTGTGGGCTAATTTAGGAGAGTGTTCTGTGACTTGTCAAGAAGGGAAGCAGTATCAGACGAGACACCGTTTCTTACCTTTGGTACAAATAAATGAAACAGTCATCAAAGAAAATGTTTGTTATGGGACCAAATGTCCAGGTAAGAAAGCTTATGTGATTAGAGGTATTTAGTATTTCTAAAGTGTGGAAAATGTTTTGAAAGTCTTTAATAAGCTACGCTCGTTTGACTGTAAATTTGTATCTGCATACAGTTAAAATTTCTTAATTTGTAGTACACTTCCACACAATCTTATCAGGCAGCAACTTTTCTATTTAATTAAATGGTCTTTTAGTAAGATTGGATGTAACTATACATTTTAGGGTATTTTAATATTCATATTTTAGTGAAAAAATCTCATCATAGATACCAGGATTACAATTTTGAACGAAACCCGCTTTCGTCTACAAAAGACTTATCAGAGACGCTCGAATTAAAAATATTAAAAAGGCCATATACTGAACGAAGTTGAAGAGTATTGAGGATCCAAAATTCCGAGAGGTTTTGCCCAATAAAGCTAAGGTAATCTACTCTTGGAAAACTTAAGAAAAAATACTAGTTTATCATGGATAGAAATGCTTAAAATCAGGTTCTCTGTTTGGTTATATTTATTTTCGTTATAATCATCATCCTAAGAGTCATTAATAAGGTACGATACTGATCCATGTACAAAATTTCAGATTATAAAATTAAATGATTTTTTTAGAATCTTGGAGTGTGTGGGCTAATTTAGGAGGGTGTTCTGTGACTTGTGGAGAAGGGAAGCAGTATCAGACGAAACACCGTTTCTTACCTTTGGTACAAATGAATGAAACAGTCATCAAAGAAAATTTCTGTTATGATACCAAATGTCCAGGTAAGAAAGCTTATGTGATTAGAGGTATTAACTATTTCTAAAGTGTGGAAAATGTTTTGAAAGTCTTTAATAAGCTACGCTCGTTTGACTGTAAATTTGTATCTGCATACAGTTAACATGTCTTAATTTATAATACACTTCCACACAATCTTATCAGGCAGCAACTTTTCTATTTAATTAAATTGTTTTTTAGTAAGATTGGATGTAGATATTCTTTTTTGGTTATTTTAATATTCTTATTTTAGAAAAATAGTAAAAAAAAAACCACATCATATATATCAGGATAAAAATTTTGAACGACAGGCGCGCGTTCCGTCTCCAAAAGACTCATCAGTGACGCTCGAATCAAAATATTTTAAATGGCCAAATACTGTACGAAGTTGGAGAGCAGTGAGGATTCAAAATTCCGAGAGGTTTTGCCAAATAAAGTTAACTTAAAGGTATTCTATTCCTAGAAAAATTATGAAACAAAAATCATCATCATCATCATCATCATCATCATCATCATCATCATCATCATTTGTAAGAGTACGATAATGATCCATGTACAAAATGTCAGAGTTATAACATTGAAAGTTTTTTTTAGAATCTTGGAGTGTGTGGGCTAATTTAGGAGGGTGTTCTGTGACTTGTGGAGAAGGGAAGCAGTATCAGACGAAACACCGTTTCTTACCTTTGGTACAAATAAATGAAACAGTCATCAAAAAAAATGTCTGTTATGAGACCAAATGTCCAGGTAAGAAAGCTTATGGGAGTAGACGTATTTACTATTTCCAAAGTGTGAAAAATGCTTCGAAAGTCTTTGATAAGCACGCTTGATGAATGTCAATTTGCTTCTGCATACAGTTAACATTTCTTAACTCCATCGTACACTTTCACACGATCTTATCAGACTGAAATTTTCCTATTTAATTTAATGGTCTTTTAGTTAGTTAGTTAGTTTGGATGCTGCTATGTGTGTTGTGGTACTGTGTAGTAATGCTTTGGAATTCTTGGATATACGACGCTCAATTGAAGATAAGTGTGTTTCTGTTGACAGTTACGATTTCTTGACTCTATATAGTATACTTCAAAACAATCTTATCAAACGTAAAATTTATGTTTCTATTTGATAAAATGCCGTTAGTTTTCTAATTTGAATTGTTTCATATCTTTCATAGCCGACTATACGGTATGGATATTTCTCATTGTCGAAGGCTGTAAGGTTGCCTACATCCATTTCATTTGAACTTTGGTAGAAACTAACAGTGACTGTTGTTTCATTGGCAATCATACCACATCTCCTTATTTTTTTTAAGATAAGTAAGGGTGAAAATGTTGATGTCGTAAAAATTTTCGGTAATATAAATCAGAAAAGTACACTAATTGGGCATTCAAAGAAATTAAAGTCATTTATTTGTGCTTGATAATATCAATATGGACTACCTGGGTCTTTCTTAATGCAGAATATATTCCTTTTCACTTCGTGATTCACGCTTTTTTACAATAAAATAAAGAATGGAAATGGGGAATATGTCAAAGAGACAACAACCCGACCAAAGAGCAGACAACAGCCGAAGGCCACCAATGGGTCTTCAACGCAGCGAGAAAATCAAGCACCCGGAGGTGGTCCTCAGCTGGCCCCTAAATAAAATTGTGTACTAGTTCAGTGAAAAATAGTCGTCACACTAATTTCCAAAACTTCAAAAAGACCCAAAGAAACACCACTGCTAGACATTTTAACAACATCAACGAATTACATGTAAATCGCACATTAATAAAAGGCGATGTCCTTTTTCAGAACTTGATAGTACAATTTTTCATGCTAATCTTCAAGTAAATTTTATGATAAATGGAACAACTATTTCTTTCTTGTTGTTAATATTTATTTTATTTTCCTTTGATGTGCTCCTTTTCGTAATATACATTTCAAAGTTATCATAAATTGGTCAAAACTTTTATCAACTTAGATCACCAATATAGAGATTTATTGTGGAAATATGATCGATCTTCTGCGGTTGAATAATTTCTTTTTGCAAACAGCTTTTTACGATAAAATTATTTATTAAGCTTAAACAGTTCAGAAATAATCCTTGGCGGTAAACATCAATTCTGAAGCAAAACCGAAATGTTTCTTTTGTCTTCTGCATTTGATTTCGCTGCAGTTTGTTCTGCGCAATGCACAAGATCACGTCTTCTTGTACTGATTTTGACTTTGCTCTATGGAATCGTAAATGAAGTACAGTTGCCGATTTTAGGGCATAGCACGTCATGATAGCATATCAACAAGCTAAGTACTTTGAGTTTGTATTTAGTAGCTGTGAGCATTCTTTGATAAGTATAAATTATATACAATTGTTGAATAACTGTTGTTTTTTTTTAGCTTTTAAACCGTTATTTTAGAGTTAAGTGTTAAACTTTTCCTGTACCGCTTTTTATTGTATGATCATGTATGTTCCTTTACTTAGTCTTCTGTCAGAAATATAAGGGATAATTTGTTCTAAAAAAATGACCCAAATAGTCTTTTTTAAAAGATTATTTCGAGAATATTCTAGAGCTTGACAAATTGTATAGACAACAGTCTGTTGTTGGAAAACTGTATGTTGAGCTTTTGGGAACAGTTTAATTTTGTTTTGTCGTTGGGTTTGCTGTCTTATTGACGTATACGTCACATATCCTTTTATAAATATTAGACACAACATAAACATCGGAATAGCTATAAGATGACAATACATACAGTGAAAAATAATTTTAACCGATATAATAGGAGATATTGATATATAAATACTAAATTGAAAACTTTATAACTTATTTTATATGCATCAGAGCTTTGCAATGTATTATACAAATTTTGCAGCTTTGAACACTAAACTGGCAAGATTAAAAGTATTGATAATTTTGAAAGTCAAATAGTGTACAAATTTTATATGCACAACAGCTTGAATAATTCAGCAGTGTTTACAAGTAAAATAAATTTGTATGTTTCAAGGCACAAGTTATTATAAATAAATAACTAGCCTTCAGTAAATCCAAATACTCGTACATTGGTACGTTGTGTCTTTTATCATTAGTTCAGATCTAATGAGCCCAGCCTTTTTTCAATTGAGTGTTATAACTTGTACACCACTGTCCCAGGTTTTGGAGTGGATATAGCGTTCACAAACATGTTCAACCCTGCAACATCTTATATGCCTTTCCCATGCCAAGAGCCTTTAATTAAATAGTTGTCATTGCATGGTTGCTGTTTACAACAATTGTTTTTAGTTTAATGTTATTAGCTTAATTCAGACCTTTGGTTTTTTTCTTTTGAATTGTTTCACATTTTTCATCACGTACCTTTTATAGATTACTATATGGTAGAAGTTTTGGTGAAGGCCGTACGATGATATGTATTTATGTGCAACTGTGTTCTTTTGACTGGGAAGATGATTGTGTCATTTGCAACCATACCACATCTGCTAATTATTATATTCGTAGTCACAATAGTCTATCGCGTAAGCATTGTGTGAATATATGTCATTAAGCATAGTTCCGAGGATCATATTTCGGTGGAAATTGAAGCAGTTAGAGTTCAGACAAAAATATATAACTACTTTGAATACGGCTTCTTAAATTGTCGTCTCTACAGTACCTGACCAAATCAACTTTATACATGGCAAAATTTGTACGTGAATTAAGACAGATTTTTGTCCGTGATGTAAATAATACACAGGCCGCAAGTGGTATATGGTATATGCACGTACAGAGTCGACAGCGAAGTTAGAGTTTCGATACAATATTTACTGACCGCGTATATACCATACTAGGTCACTGATAGACTGTGTAATATCTATGTCTTACCGACAATCTAATACTTGGAAAAACATGAGTTTCTTTTACCAACTAAGAAAATTTAACAAATGCCGTCTTATATCAGACAATGTCAATCTGCTGAAATATTAAGAAGGTAGGAAATTGAACAATCCATCCTCTCGCTCTGTCGTTTCTTTATATGGTTACATGACACACCCATTTCTACATGCAACGTTTTTATTTCAGTTTTCTTCGAATGGACAAACGATGATATTGTTTGCTGGTTCTAACTTTTTTGTTTACAACATCTCATGTACGGACACCTCAAAGATTTGACCGTGCAGAGAACATGGCACTCTCAAAACATTGGGCTTAGATTTAACATCCAATTTCTGATCGAACGTAGATGTGTATCTATACAGCTCCGACAGCTAAACGGGTGCCCCCACCCCGCGCAGCATGGGTTCTATCTGAAGGGAGATACCAAACTGACCATATTGCTTTACCCCAGTTCCAAGTTTAAAAAAATTAGAACCGCTAAGTTGATCTACGTCGACTTGTAGGTAGCGTGGTTGTTAAGTGCGGGATGTCGTTGATCGATTACCGATTGGTTAAAAAAACTTTTAAATTTGGTGTGTCATGCTTTTTCGCCAATCACCCGGCAATACGGAGTAAAACCAAAGACTAATCGGCTCGGAGCTAAAATGTTATATGCTTGAGTAAGGTGATACGTCTTCCTTCAGAAGCTAGCACTAAACAATCCGACTGTATTTGTAATCTAGTAAAATTAGGGAAAAAACATATTGTATTTTAAGTTTGGCCTTCGTAAAACGTAGATTTTTCTGTCGCAAATTGAGTAAATTACCTAGCGACGCGGAGCGGATTACGAAGGTCAATCTTAAAATACAATACAGTTATTTCCATTCTAATGCGACATTACGAAATGTATTCCATTGTAGGAAATATTTTGGCTTAAAAATGCCATAATGAAAAAGTCCACGAAACTGTTACATCGTCTTTGGCATCTAAACAATGTGATGTCATAGGTGTACTCCCGATGTCAAACATAAACACTAGAAGTATTTATACTATTCTAAATGGTTTACATTCTGACATAAAGAAGATTTTGAGGCACAAAATGTGACTTTTTTGTTTATTTTTTGAGAAATGACATACCAAAAAAATTCTGAATTCAAAATAGTTGCTTTCCTTAGTTACGGATTGGTAGAACGTGGAATCTAACCCTTCAAAATATTTGTCAACGTCCAATGAAAATCGTCGTTACAAAAGAATTGCATTAGAACGTGTGATATTTACTGCTTTATGTTAAACAGCAACTAATAAATCGATTATGAAGTAGGTTCATCTGAATGTTTAAAGCTTAGAAGCGGAAAATAATGCAAACACACCACCTGTCTAATTAGAATTATCATTTGATATTAAGGGGATGAAAACCAGATTAAACCTTATTTATTCTTTTGTTGCATTATTGATATTATCAAACATACAGGTATGACCTTACTTAAGGATGTATTCTTCTGATGTTTCAGTCTCGTTGAAATCTCGTTCGGGATTTTTTTCCAAAATATGTGATACAAATAAAAAATGTCAATGAATTTAAAAAATATTATAATCAAACTAAACTCTGTGAAAAAATTGTGTACTTACAATAAGTATTTTTTGAGTAATAATTTTTTTAAATTTTATAACCAATCCGGTCAGTGTCATCAGTCAGAATGTTGAGAAAATGGGTGAAGAGTACAAAGAAATGATTTTACCAAAAATATGTACATCCCATATCAATTTTTTCATTTCAAAATTCTTAGATATGAATTTTTTCAATCATTTATAACAAAGGAGTTGAAATAATATGATTTTTGTTCTAAAAAAAAAGAGAAAAATTCCAATTTTTTTACAAAATTGACAGCATGGTCAATTTGACACGAAAAAGCAATAAAATATTATAAAACTTTCTTATATTAACACCAACCTATAGTTTTTTTTAAGTTAGATTTATTCAGATTGGTCCACTTCATCTTTAGTGAAAGTATGAAAAAAAGTTTAATTGTGAAACTGATTTTTTTCATGATAATAGCCCAAAAATGGGTAAAAATTTATGAAAAATGGGAAAATCATTAAAAATGGGGTACTTTCAAATGGCCGTAGCAAAAAAAGAAGTGCACCACCATATGATTTTTTCTTCGTCAATTACTTTCTAACAGTCATATCAACCCAAAAATCAGGTTAAGAAAAAAAGTTTAATTCTAGAAATTTTTGGCTCCTCAGATGTGTACATCCTTTAAGTTGCTCTGCCGTCATCGAACGGTATACGTTAATAACATGCAAGTCCTGCTCAAACCTAGACCGAGATTGCTTTGAGGCATTTTGGAGAACTTTCTGGGGCCGTACAAGTCCCTAAATAAACAGTCAGACGTCAGAGCAATATCGGACTTGGTTAAACCAGGAATGAAAATGTCTGAAAATTGTCTTATTTAATCTTTATTGTTTTCTTTTTATCCAGTAAAGAAACAAACTGATTCTGATTCTAACATAACAAATCGAAATAAGAAATAAAATAAAAATAAAATAAAAAAAATTGTGACTTAGGATACAGACCATGTTTTGCTAAAGTTACAAATTTTTTTTCTGTAGTTTTCAAATGGATTAACTTGAAATCAGAAAACCTTACAATAGAAGACAAGAAAGAAATGATGAAAGGAGAATTAGTCGATCTGAAAGCAAACCTGACCATTGACAAAAAGAATACATCGGCTGCAATCAGACGTAGAACATCAGCTCGTGACAACAGGCCCTTTGCTACGTTAATGGGTTATGTAGGGGTTATAATCCTGATTATACCAGTGGTTCTTATTATTTATGCAGATTTCACCAAATGTTGTCAGTCAAAAAAGATATCTAGAAAGAAAAAGGTTCATCCCAGACTAAGTGCACCTAAAATTGACATATAGACTATTACAGCACGTGATACAAATTGTAGAAAATATAGAAAGTAGGATAGAAGAAGTGTTCATAGAAGTACATTTGAAAACTATAAATACTGTTTTATTTCAGTATGATCTTAAGTAGCTTCGTTCATTAAAATTTTTTATTGAAGAATTACTCCAATTTGAATTAATTCGATAATGTCATAGCACTCAATTGGTGGAATATATCATAATGTCTTCGGTAACCCACGACCTGTAAAATGCCGACATACTAGTATACCACATACAAAATGCTCGAGTGCACTTGTTGTATAATGTCAGACAACATTAGAAATAACACAACTTTGTGTTATTACGAATGCTGCCGATATTTGGAATAAATTCACATTATAAAAAATTTTTTTTTTCAAAAAACGCAAAGAAATGTAAGCATTGTCATTTAAGGGCCATATATCCTATAACGACTCTACTTATGATTTCAGTCAATTATTAGTAGATCTATTCTGTTCATCATTTTTACAGATTACAGTTTCTCTCTATCTACTATAGTTTTCACAATAAACGAAAAAATGGGTAAACATTCGTCATCAAAAGGCAACAATTCATTTGAGTAGTCGACTGACGTTTTCGGTCACATTGATTTATCAATTAGCAAACCATCGTCAAACCACGGGTCCCAAATCTTTGACGGGCAAAGGGTTCGGTTTAAATGCCTGCAAGTGCTTAATCTCACTCTAACCTGGTACAACAGCACCAAACAAACAAAAACTAAAAATAAGTTGGAAAGATTTTGACTCACCAAATTGGTACTAAGTACAAAACAACTAACCGAAAAACAAAGGACACAAAGTACAGGTCTAACAGCTCTCACACTTACGGACCGCTAAATTAATTCAAAGTCCAGTTTCAACTAATAAATATACCAGGCTTTCTAATGGAAAACTGCGTCTTAAATATTAATCCTCACACCTACAATGGATTTAATGGAAATACGTCATAACCTATTTGAGGCAAGCATCACTTTGTGCCAAAATATAAGTATGGACAGGCTGTAGGACTATAAACGTTCACGAAAAGAGAGCAATACATGAATACCTATGTATTAAAAGTATCTAAAATAAAACCAATGTCAGTATTTATCAAGACAATATTCAAAGATCCCACTTCAATGACACATTCTGACTTTTCTTTGGGGATTTATGATTATAGAATAGAAATTATTAACATTATACTCAGACCGGAAATTTTTATGAGGGTTTTGAAAAATGGCAACATTCTAATTACAAAGGCAATTAAATTATCACAAATCATTATTATTTATATATTAATAGATATATCACTTTCAATCAGCTAACACCAGATAAGGTATTTGTAAATAAGGGTAGAAGCAGGTTAAATTGTGGGTTTTTGAAAATTAGCAAAATTCTACATTACATAGAAACAAAAAATTGTTATAAAACTTTAATGCATTTTGTTCATACAATTCCATTTAAAACAGTTACAACAAGATAAAGTATTTTGAAAACAAAGAAAATAGCAAAAATAAATAAAATTTTACATACATTTCTTTGAAACTTGTAAGTTTTACAGAGTATTCCGAGTACGCTGAAATTAAAAACGATAACGGTGAATTAATCATAACAATGAACTATTAAGCCAAATGTATTTAACAAAAATTATAATTCGTGAAATCTCGCTTTTGATTCGTTTTATGTCGAAGAAGAAGCACAAAGAAATAATAGATGTAGTTTTAATTTGATGAAAATTAAGTAGTTGTAAGATATATTTATTAAGTTTAACTTTGGAAATTAACTGTATTTGAGGACATGAGGTAAGCCCTATCTGTTGTTGTAAAGTAATTGTTAATCTCTGTTCCGTGATCGTTTTAGTTTTATGTAGTTCTTCATTTTGGGTTGTTGTTACTTTCTTATGATGGCACCTCTGGGAGGGCAAGAGGGTTGTGTATTGGGATTATATGTCGTTTTTGATGACTCAGTTGACAGAAAAGGTGTTGGACTCGTCTCTCACAAACTTTTTAAATAGAATAAATCTGTAGTTTCGACTCAGTTTTATTATATAGAGAAAACAAGTCATTAAATTCATGTCATACAGAATTGCAGAAAATTATAAGATGAAAGACAATGAGAATAATCATACAGAAAAACATGTATTGATCGAGTTGAACTTAAGTAATGCACGGTATCATTGAACATGCATTTAGTTGTTAATCTAGAGTTCAACCGGGATAGAAGCTACTTTCAGTGAAAAAAATACGGAATTAAGAGTCTGCATAATTAATCTATAAAAAGGTTGAAATGATTAGTGGTGGATTTATAGAAGGACCCGATGCCTATTTCCACTGCTTGTGGGATAACAAATATGCGTTGAGCGTGAACGAGGATATTTTATCTTTTATGATTATTCTTTTAATTACCAAAAAGTCCTATCCAATTATCTAGGGATTTCGTGATTTTTCTCTAAAATGGCAACCTTTAGTAAATTGAAACAAACGTAAATTAAGGCCATACTTTTAATCTTATTTCATAAATAAAATGTATGTTATTGTACATGTAGGTCCATGTTTACATCCACTGGCGCACTGGAAACATAATGTTAGTTATATATCTGGATGATGTTGAAATATACAACCGAATAGAACTTAAGTGGTTTGGACTTACATTACGTATGTCGGTTTGTCGAAGTGTTAAATCAACTAAGTAATTGATAAAACAAAAAAAATAAATAACGTATTTTTTCGTTGTTGGGTAGGACAGAAAATCAATTAATCAAAAGCAATGTGATTAAATGAATCAATAAATAAGTCAGTTGTGAAAAGAAAATTATTATACAATTAACCATGAATAACTTCAACAGTTTATTAAAAGTTAAATGTTTTAAAACATTTTTTACATAACCAATGAGAGTATATGATATTTATATCAAGCCAGTTTGGGCATAGCCCGAATGACATACTCACAGATATTGATAATTCATGTCGATAAAAACCTACAGAAAGTCTCAACTTCTTTCATCAGAAATAAACACATTTATTCTAAAACAAGTTGTTGGCATGATACGGGTTGTGTTCTTCTCGTATATTTATTGATGTTTTGATACTAAACCCCTAACGGGAGGGATTTTTTGTGCTTGATTTTCATATGATGAAGACATAATCTTTCAATCAGTTAAATTGAGGTCTGGAGCTGGCATGTCAGTAACTGCTAGTAGTCCTTTGTTAATTTATGTTGATCATTGTCATTTTGCTTAGTTTCTTCTGTTACCTATTCTAACATCGGACTCGGACTTCTTTTGAACTACATTATTGTTTAGGTGCCAGCTGAAGCCCGCCTCCGGGTGCGGGATTTTTTCGCTGTGTTGAAGACCCATTGGTGGCCTTAGGCTGTTTTCTGCTCTTTGGTCGGGTTGTTGTCTCTTTGAAGCATTCCCTGTTTCCATTCTTGATTTTATTCTTTGTTTAACACATTTGTAATTGCGAAAAAAAAATTTCATATCAGAAATTCCAATTTCTTTCACTTTCGATCCTTGAGTTTTAGACATTCCTAGGTTACATAAATTTTAACGGTGTGATTTTACAGTAGTATACTCGCCTAAGGTCTGAAGTTTATATATGTATCATGTAGAACTTTAGCTTTTGGACTAGCATTTTGAAAAGTCAAATTCAGGGTGTATATCCAGTGTAAAGAAGGGTTTTCATTCATATCATATTAACATGTTCCTGACATGTATATTACTCAAATATTGAAAATGGTTGGATCCAAAATCACAGAGATTGTCATGGTGTACAGTCGGCAATAAGAAGGACACAGTTAGTCCAAATCGGAATACCAGTCATTTGACAGTGAAAAAAATTACTGGATGCAGACTTATATCAACGAATTTTTAAACGGTTCCTTGTGCAATTTAGAAAACCGATGTACAAATGTATAGTTGGAAACTTGTGGTGTTCATTAGCAGCGTTTAGTTCTGGCATTTTTGCAGCAGTTCATTTACGATCTTTTCTTCAGTAAAAGTCGTAGGTTTGAACGTTTTTCACTTTTTTTTCTCATATATATCGAGTATTTCAAGATAATACTTACGTCAAACAACGACAACGCCTTTGACTTCTTTGTTAGTTTTATTACCATTTACATTTTAATGTGACAGAAGAATAATGATGATCCCGTTTAATTATCATTGATACGTGTACCGTTCGACTTCGTTTTTAGCCAAGATCCAAACTATTAATTGATGAGGTTTTATAAATGTTTCTCTTTCCCATCATGTTATACTTAGTGCGAGGGTGTATACAGATTGGTATTTTTTAATCCAGAACATTCACATTTTTTTTAAATTATCTTTCAATTTTGTCATGTCACTGCTTTCCAAAAGTTAAAATTTTATTATGTTCTTATGATTGTAAGGACAAATTCGTTCAACTAATGAATTTCACAATAAGAAATAAGTAAGAAATACCCCTAGGTTGTACTTTTTACTACGATTTCCGTTACCCTTTGACAGCACGATGTATACTGTCTTTCAGGGACAATAATATGAACTTAAGTAAACCAATACATACAGAAACGTGTTCATTCTATCTTGGGAACAAATAGTGAAAAGTACTATATTGTTTTGTATGTCTTTTAATCAGAAAGTGAATATATGTATGTATAAAGGATTGCAAATGATTAATAACTAATGACATTGGGGTTCGAATCCCGTTGAGGGAAGAACAAAAAATTATTATAGATATAATATGGTTGTTAGCCCTGTAGTACCACAGGTTATCCGATGGAGAATTTCAGTCGTAAATTGTCACGTTTTAAGAAGTATATAATAAAAATAAAATAAAAATTTGATGTGGTGGCATAGTTAATAATGTTATCATCCTTTACGACAGACATAACATAGATGATCTGAAAGCTACACCATCTACTTGCCACTATACATCATGTACTGTGTTACAACCCAAGATAACGTCGACGAGGAAAGGCATAACTCGACTAACGAAAGCTATTTTTCAAAATAGCCTAGTTGGTCGTGTGGTCTAAGGCGCTGGACACAGTGCAGACGGTGTTGCCAAGATGTCACAGAAGCAGGAGTTTGAATTCTTCTTAATACGATAGACGAATATATATAACTTTTCCTCAA